TGATGGGCCATAATAATCAACCACATTGTATATCGACAAAATAAAAATTCAAAAAAAAAAGTGTGGGATACTTCCAATACAAAACTTAGGAAGCAAAATTATAGCACTAAACACCTGTAATAGAAAAGAAGAAAGTCCTCAAATCAATGACTTCAGCTTTCACGTTAAGAAATGAGAAAAAGAAAAGCAAATTAAACCCAAAGTAAATAGAAGACAGGAAATAATAAAGATGAAAGCAGAAAACAGCTGGCCAATTAGCTCAGTTGGTTAGAGCATGGTGTTGTAACACCAAAGTCAAGGATTCAGATCCCCATACCAGTCAGCCACCAAAAAAGAAAGAAAGAAAGAGAGATGAGAGCAAAAATCAGTAAAATAGAAAAGAGAAAAATAACAAATAGAGAGTAAAAACTCCAAGCCCAGGTGGTTTAATTGATGAATTCTACCAAACATTAAACAAATAATTTCAATTCTTGATAAACTGTTCCAGAAAGTGCAAAAAAGAAAATTGAAATACTTTTCCATTGTTTGAATATTTTTGGAAAAAAAATTGAAATACCAAAACCAGATAAAGACAATCATAAGAAAGAATAACTATATGCCAATATTCCTCATGAACATAGTTGCAAAAATTTTTAACAAAACTTTATCAAATTGAATCCAACAATATAATAAAAAGATATTACATCATGAACAAGTGGGGTATACCCCAGGAATGCAGGGCTGGTTTAACATTTAAAAATTAATCAATGTAATTCACCATATTAATAAGCTTAAAAAGGAAAAAAAGGGTATGATCATCTCAAAATATGCAGAAAAGCTTTTTACAAAATCTAACACTGATTTGTGAATAGAAGAAAACTTTTTCAACCTGATAAAGGGTTTCATGAAAAACTTACAACTAATATCATACTTAATGGTGAAAGACGGAATGCTTTCTAAGATCAGGAGCAAACAAAGGATGTCCACTCACCACTTTATTTGACATTCTGGAGGTCCTAGTCAGTGCGATCAAGTAAGGAAAAAAAAATTCAAATTGGAAAAGAAGTAAAACTGTCTTTATTTGCAGATGACATTATCATATATATAGAAAACCCAAGAAAACCCAATAAATCTACTAATAAGTGATCTACTAATAAGTGATTTTAGCAAGATTGCAGGATACAAAACCAATATTCAAAATCAATTGTATTTTCATACACTGGCAATGAACAATCAGAAAAAAATTTTTTAAGTACCTTTACAAAAAAAATGAAACACTGTCAAAAGACATGAAAGACCTGTACACTGACAACTATAAAACATCACTAATAAATTAATGACCTACCTAAATGGAGAGATATACTGTGTTTATGGGCTGAAACAATTTTATTACATGCCAATTCTCATGATATTGACCTATAGATTAGATATAATCCCAATCAAAATCACAGAAAGATTCAATGAAAAATAAACTGCTCCTAAAACTCACATGGAAAAGCAAAAAACCCACTATGGCTAAAACCTACTTTGAAAAAAAAAAAGGTTGGAGGACTAAAACTATCTAAGTTCATGACTAATTATAAAGCTACAGTAATCAAGACAGTGTGGTATTGGTGTAAAGATAGAAACATGGATTGATGGAACAGAACAGTTTAGAAATAGACTCACATGTATATGGAGAAGTGATTTTTTGATAAAGGTGCAAAGCAATCCAGTAAAGAAAGGATAGCATTTTCAACAGATGGTGTCTTTGATCCATAACTTGTGCCATACACAAAAACTAACTCAAAAGGGATCATAGACCTAAATATAAAACTATAAAACTCCTAGAATAAATTAGGAAAAAACATTTGCAATCTTGGGTTAAGCAAAAATTTCTTAAATTTAACACCAAAATCATGTTCTACAAAAGCACAAATAGATAAGTTGGACTTCCTCAAAATTAAAAACTTCTGATTTTCAAAAGACTGTTAAGAGAATGAGACAACAAATCACAGACTGGGAGAAAATATTTGCAAATCACATATCTGATAAAGGACTAGTATCTAAAATATATTAAGAGCTCCCCAAACTCGATAACAAGAAAACAAACAACCCAATTAAAAAATGGGCAAAAGATATGAACAGACACTTCACCAAGGAAGATATACAAGTGGCAAAAAAAGACATGAAAACATGCTTAACATCGTTAGTCATTAGGTAAATGTGAGTCAGATATCACTATATATATTTCAAATGGTTAATTAAACAGACTAACCATATCAATTCTTGGTAAGGATATGGAGAAACTGGAACTCCCATATGCTGCTAGTGAGAATGTAAAATGGCCAAACCATGCTGGAAAACACTGGCAGTTTCTTACAAACTTAAACATACACCTACCGTATGATCCAACTATTCCATTCCTAGGGATTTATACAAGACAAATGAAGCGCATGCCCAGACCAAGACTCATACATGAATGTTCATAGAAGCTTTATTTGTAATAGCCCAGAGCTGAAAATGATCCAAATGTCCATCAACAGGTGAATGAATAAATGACTGTGGGATATCCATAGAATGAAATACTACTCTGTAATAAGGAACGAACTATTGATACAGACAACGTGGATGAATCATAACATAATTATGCTGATTAAAAGAAGCCAGACCAAAAAAAAAAAAAGAGTTTATACTGCATGATTTACATAAAATTCTAGAAAATGCAAACTAATGAATAGTAACAGAAAGTAGATTAGTGGTAGGTGGGAGTAGGGGAGGTGTCTGAGGGAGGGAGCACAAGGGAATCCCTCTAGCAGTAAACTTTCAGGAGGGGATGGATATGTTCATTATCTTGATCATGGTGATGGTTTCATGGGTGTGTACACATGTCAAAACATATCAAATTGGGCACTTGAATAGCACACAGTTTATCGTATATCAATTATACCTCAATAAATAATCCCCCCCTACACACACTTTAAAAGAGGTAATGATATCCTCACTGTAAACTGGATAAAACTAGTCACATCCTCGTGGCCACCTGTTTTCATTAGGTTAAAAAATAAGATTAGGACACTTAATACAAGTTACCTTTTTACAAATTACATTAACCTTTCTTAGCCTTGGTTTCCTTAATTATAAAATGGTAATGCAAATTCCCAGCTTGCACATTTGTGTGATCATTAGCATCTGTTTTCACTCACCATTATACCTTCAGGACCTAACACAAAATAAGCACTTTATAAATATCTGTTAAATGAATAAAAGCATGTGCAATATTAGCTCAGTACCTGATACCAATAATCCAATATGAAAGAGAGGGAGGAGAAAGAGGAAAAAAAGTAGGAGGAGGAGAAAACTCACCTTAAATTCCTTCTAGAATGAAGTAGGCCCAAATAAATAAAAAGCATGCAATGTTTTAATATTGCTTTGAAAATGTCTATAAAAATTTAGTGATTCCATTTTTTTTAGAATGAGGTTTTCGGTTATATCAATAAACGCATGGCTCCAAAGTGAAATTTTGCTCACACTGGTTATTAGGTATACATTAAATGTTTTTCTTAGATGTCCTATCCTTTAACCGAACATTGAAAAATGTATAAATGGAATCCTTTCAACAAGTCAAATGCTTGGAAAATACTTCAATCGCTAATCATTCTTGTTCATTTGTATTACGCATTGCTCTCCAGGTAGGATATGCATGCACGCTTTTATCCTGATTGTTCTGACAGCTTGTACGTGCACCCTGCAATTACTTCATCAAAGATGTGAGGGTTGAGTTGAGATAAATTTAAAAGTCAATTTTCTTTCTTTACTCAGTTTTATCATGGTGCTGTATAAAAATTAATGTTTAAAAATATATTCTGATTGAGAACAGTAATTTATTTCTTGGTACTTTAGAACTTATTTTGCTAGACTTCAGATGTGTACCATTTCATAGAACTTTTTTGAGCACATACATATTCATTCAGTGGGCTTCATTCATTATTTTAATGTAATGAGTTTTCAAAAATACATAAATGTGCTCAATAAATGTTTGTGAGACTGAATTGAACTAAATTCTGTCAAATATTTTTATGTGTATACACAGTTTTAATGTGTTGGCTATAGTGATTATAACCATTATTAAGTTCCATACTGGAAAGTTTAATTTTCATATTCTTTTTACAAATCAAACTATCCTAGAAATTAACTCATGTTAGATGTAATCAGCCACTAACATGCAAACTATTAAATGCCTTTTTAATAAGCAAAGGCACTTACCTTGTGTTTTGTAAATAAGATGGTCTTCATTCAGGCTTATCTTTGTTGGGCAATGGTCTAAACTTGTTTCTCCCTTAGACAGTCTTAACTTTGGGGGCAACATAAAAGAAAGATTATTTCCATATATCCTTAAATTATTCTTAGGTGATTTATTCTTGCCTTTCCCTTCTGGCCCCAGATTGAGGGAAACCCACCTCCCCCTCCCTCTCCCTTCCCCTTTCTCCCTCACATTTTTAGTTGCTTTTCCTCATGGAAAGCACCTAAACCACATTTCTTTCTTTCTTTTTTTACCTGAGCATTTTTTCGTTAAATTTTTATTTTGTCAATATACAATGTATTAGATTATTATGGCCCATCACCGATACCTCCCTCCCTCCTCCCTCTCTCCCCTCCCACCCAAGAATGTCCTTTCCATTTGCTTGTTGTAACAACTTCAAAAAAGTATAGTTGTTATATCTTCTTCCCCCCCCCCCCCCGGTTTTTTTGTGAGTGTGTATGTGGGTGAATTAATTTGTTTATTTTTAGCTCCCACCAATGAGTGAGAACATGTGGTATTTCTTTTTCTCTGCCTGACTCGTTTCACTCAATATTATTCTCTCAAGGTCCATCCATGTTGTTGCAAATGGCAGTATTTCATTCGTTTTTATAGCTGAGTAGCAGGACCTCTTTTCAATGGCAACCAATGGCTATTAGTGTCATTAGAAGTTCTTAAACGTCTTTGGGCATTAATCACACTCCAGATGATACAAAAATTTAGTGACTAAAAATGTACATACATTAAAATCTTCAGCTGCTACCTTGAGGTAGTGAGGATTTCAGCTTCATTCTTTTAATTCGGAATTTCATCCAGACCCCATCAGTGAGATTTCAGCCTGATTATAAAACCAGGAGGGTTTATTATGCATATATTTAAGAACTTTATATTTTCCTTTGGCTGCCCTGATTGTGTATGTGATCTTTTAAAACCTCCCTCCTTTGAGGGAGGTTTCAGTAATGGGCCACCATAATCAACCACATTGTATATCGACAAAATAAAATTTAAAAAAAAATGTAATGGGCTTATTATTATTAATAAATAAATATTTAAATATTTTCAAAAAAATAAAAATTAAAATTAAATAAAACCTCCCTCCTTTGATAGATAGCCATTAATGGGGCCCTTTTCTGGGCATGAGAGATTATACTGTGTTTTGATTCTGGGTTTGCCCCTGAGATAATAACCAGTAGCACTCTTGCAACTTTGATCGAATGGAATTATTTTTAGAAGAGGTTGCTTTGCTTGAAATATAGCTTGTAATTTTAAAAAAAGCCCTTTACATTGTAGAACACAAGGGCTTCTTGACAGTGTGTGTATAGGATTGCGACATTTTCTCTGTCGGAAGACTACTTTTGAATTCGCCCTGTCTGTGTGTGTGTCTATAAAGATAAATGAATTACTTTGGTGCTAAATATAGCAACCATATGTAGCATGCATCATTTCTGACAACTACTTCCTGCTGTGCAGAAGCTTTTTAGTTTGATATAATCCCATTTGTTTATTTTTCCTTTGGTTGCCCGTGCTTTTGGGGTTGTATTCATGAAGTCTGTGCCCAGCCCTATTTGCTTAGTGTTTCTCCTATGTTTTCTTTAATAAGGTTTATTGCTAAACCACATTTCTAAAACCTTGCCACAGAAGAGAGCTTGTCTGGGGACACATTTCCAAATGCCAAAGTCTCATGTGTTTTCTTTCTGAAAATGTCTTGTATTCTATTCCATAATACATCCTTGTTAGACTTTCTAAAGAAAGAGAGCCATCAACTTCAGAAATCCATTCCTACTTTTCACACATCACATCCATAGCCATATTTTTCTCAAATTAAAATGGTTTTTCCTCAAGCTCTATCTTCAGGATAAACACAAATAACTTCTCACTCAATTACTTTTCAGTTGTGTTTGGTCATAGATATCCCAACAGTATCAGATTCCAACTACTGATATGCAAAATATCCAGAATTTTGGCTATAATAGGAGGGGAATTAGCTTTTCTAGGCTAACCTGAGCACCTACCAATTTTTTAAGCAACTAAAGTGCAATTGAATAATGATTACACAAACCATTTGTAAGTTGTGGCTTGCTTAGTTCATGATGGTTTTGATTTCTGGCTTAATCTAGGCAGGCACCAAAATAACTGTCAATCAAGGAATTTATTGGTTAAATGAGTACATAAATTGTAACTTCTTGTGTTAATATGAGCTGCTCTAACTTTTTAAAGTGTGTGTACATGTATGTCTGTGCATGCAAATTTTATAGTGTATATAAGCAAATAGGATGGACTAAATCCCACAATACCTTATTGAGAGGTTTCCAGGAGAGATCTAGATGCAAAAAAGTAGATGGTACATCAAAAGGAATTTCAATAACTTCTTCTTTCTTTTTCTCTGTTGGTTGGGGGGTTAAAGCTTTCTGTGGTCTAATATCCCAAAAACATATTGTGCTGAAAAAAAGTTTATATTTTATTTTTTATTAGGTACAAAAAAAAGCGTGACCTCAGGACTAGCATTACTGCTGCTACACATCAGCAATGAGACCATGGCTATATTTTAACATCTTCAAAACTAAGATTTTTATGAAATGTGATTATTTTGCATTTTATATTTTATAAACTTATACTTTTTATAGGGTTATTTAATAACTTCCTAGTCTTGAGACCAATATATTATAGTAATATAACAGTTTTATTGAGCTATAACTCGTATACTACAGAATTCACCCATTTAAAGTGTGTAACTTAGTGATTTTTAATGTATTTACAGAGTTGTACAGCTATTACCACAATCAATTCTAGAAGATTTTCATCACCCTAAAAAGAAACACCACATAGAGTAGCAGTCACTTGCCATTAGTAGTTCCCCTCCAAGCCCTCTGAGCAGCCCTAGGCAAGCACTAACTGCTTCCTATCTCTATAGATTTTCCTATGCTGGACATTTATGGAATCATATAATATATGGTCTTTTGTGACTGCCTTCATTCACTTAGATTAATATTTTCAAGGTTCATCTATATTGTAGCACATACCAGTACTTCATCTTCTTTACTGCTGAATATTCCATTGTATGGGTATATCATATTTTATTTACCCATTCATCAGTTGGATTATTTCCCCTTTTTTGACTTAAGAATAAAGCTGCTAATAAACATTTGTATATAAGTTTTATGTAGATGTATGTTTTCATTTCTCTTGGCTATATCTAGGAGTGGAATTTCTATATTATATGGTAACTCTATTTTTAATCTTTTGAGGAACTGCCAAATTATTCTCCAAAGAAACTTTCCCATTTTTATATCCCATCAGCAATGTATGAGGATTCCAGCTTCTCCACATTGCCACAAGTTCATTAACACTTGTTTTTTGTTTGTTTGTTTGTTTTTTGTCTTTTGGTTGTAGTAATTCTAGTGGGTATAAAGTAGAATCTCATCAAAAGTGGTACCACTCCCTAAGGAAATGAAGGTTTATGCCTACGTTTTCTTCTAAGAGTCTTTTAATTTTATCTTTTACATTTAGGTCTTTATTCTATTTTCAGTCAATTTTGCAGATGGTGTGAAGTAGGGGTCCAACTTCATCTTTTGCATGTGGACATCCTCTCGTCCCAGCACCATTTGTTGAAAAGACTGGTTTTTTCTTCATTGAGTTGTCCTGGAATCTTTGTTGAAGGTCAGTTAGCCATGCGTGTATGGGTTTACTTCTGGACTCCTAATTATATTCCATTTATCTATGTGTCTATCCTTATGCTAGTTCTAGTATATCTGTCTCTATCACCGTAGCTTTGTAGAAAGTTTAGAAATTGGAAAGTGTGAGTCCTCCAACTATGTTCTTCTTTAACAAGATTATTTTGGCTATTATAAGTCTCATTATAATTTTGGTTTGCATTTCTCTGATAGCTAACGATACTGCATATCTTCTTATGTGCTTATTGGCCATTTGTACATCTTCTTTGGAGAAATATCTATTGAAATTTCTTTGCTCACTTTTTTTCAGTTTTCAAAATCTTATTTTATTTGCATTCACTTGAAAGCTCTTACAGAAATACTTCTTGAGTACCGGGTTTTCTGAAGTGATCTATAACCGAGGCAATTTTTAATAGTTGAAGGTTTCTAGGGACTAGGACAAAGGTTGTTGATTATATTCCAATTTTTTTTCCTCAATTTTTAAAAATTTTTTTATCGACTCATATTTGATTATAAATATTTTGGAGGTTCAATGTTGACACATATTGATCAAATTAATATTACTAGCATAAATAGTTACAAATTATACTTATTCTTTATTGTCCAATCTCTCCGTATCCCCCTCTCCCTCCCCCCCACCTCTGATAACCCTAGATTTCTTCTCTTGTTCTGAAAGAGTAATGGTTACTCTGTTGATTTGTTGCCTAGATAATCTGTGCAATGCTGAGAGGTGTGTTCAGGTCCCCCAAAATTACATAGAGCAAATGCTTCTTCTGTCACTCTGAAATGGGCTTTGTGAAGAGAGACATCCTCTTCTTTTCTTTGGTCTCTGCTGGTGGCTCTCCTTGTATCAATGCACTCCAGTGGCTGGCAAATGCTGGCGGTGTGCCTGGTTGTGGGGGGCGGGGCAGTCTGGTCCCTGGATCCATGCCTCAGGTGGGCCCCGAGGCACTAGTGGTGTGCCTGGTTGGGGGGGGGGTGGGTCCAGTCCCTGGTCTTTGCTCACTTTTTAATTGGGTTATTTGTGTTTTTATTGTTGAGTTGTAAGAGTTCTTTATATATTCTGGATACAAGTCTTTTATCAGATATATGATTTACAAATATTTTTCCCATTGTTTTTTCAACTTCCTGATAGTGCCTTTTGAAGCACAGAAGTTTTAATTTTGATGAACTCTAATTTGTCTATATTTTTCTTTTGTTGACTGTGCTTTTGATGTTTTCTCAAAATGATATAATCTTAAAAGCAACATAGTAAAAATAATGTATACACAGATGGAGTCAGATATTATGTGCTTTGCACATAGTAGGCACCCAACAAGTGTTATTTCTCCTCTTATTACTCCTTTCTTATTGGTTTATTATTAAAATTATTTATAAAGTTCTACACATATACAGCGTGCACTGAAAATAACACTCTGTATATGTGTGAAACTTTATAATGAATTTTCACATACATTATCTCATTTGATTTTCATAATCAAACTGTGAAGAATACGTTTCTGATAATGAAAGTTACAATACTTTATACTAATACTTCTACAGTACTTTAGTATAAAAATGCCTTGTATTAATTACATGAAAACATATAATGAAAATGGCAAAGAATATGCCATATTATCCCCCTAATTATATTAACTGAGATATATATATTATAAATAACCCAAATAATGAATTTAAGGTATAATAAAAATTAAGATATATAAGTTAAAGTACTTAGATAAACAAATAGCAACTCAACTAAGACTAACAAAACATTTACTTATATGAATTGTGTAATCAATATTAATCATTTTCATCCTAATAATGAATAAGTGGTTAAAATTAATAAAAATATTAATCATTTTTATGTTACCAAAATATAAATCCTTGAAAAAAACACCATAAGTGGCATATTAAGATCTGTTTTAAACATGCTTATAGTTAAAGTTGTTTTTTAATATTGTATAGCTCTTCTCAAGTCTTATTTACAGCGTTAAAATTAATAAAAATATTAATCATTTTTATGTTACCAAAATATAAATCCTTGAAAAAAAACACCATAATTAATTTGTATTATTCATGAATGGTTTGCTAAATACAGATAGCATCAGCTGAAATTTCTACATGAATCAGTCACACATTCTTATTAACAGAAACTTATTTTATAAGACCCTTAGCATGGCCGAAGTATAAAGATTAGAATGGATGAGTTTTCTAGATACCTAAAAGTGAGCTTTTCTAAATGCTTAAACTTTATTTTTTACTTTAACAACTTTTGAAGGAAATATTTCCATGTTTACATAAATAAACATATAAAATAATAATTTAACCAACCAACACCCTTCCTTTCTTCCAGACTCAAGGGCCATCATTATAAACAACAAACAAGGACCTATGTCGATATGCTTTTAAATGTTCTCTGAGGCTACTAAAGAGCCATACCTTTACATGCAGTTACTTACAATCAACTTTATAGCATAAGCATTTCCCCATGAAATCATAATACAATTTTAATTGTTGCATAACATTCCGTATGGCCCTTTGGGTGAGATGTTGCTTTTGCTTGGGTGACAACTTCTCCCTTTTTCTTTGGGGAACTGCCCCTTTCCCATAGAATGCAGTCAGGTTGGCATTGTCACTCAGGGTGCTTTGCCATTCTTTCCCTGGCCAAAGGGGTGGGTTCATGAAGCAACAAAGGCTCAGAAGATCTTTTCCGCTCTCTCTGAATCTTGAGCACTGTGACACAATGGTTGGAGCTCATTTGTTCAGATGGAAGGGGCTGGCCATCTGTTCCTGCTACCCAAATCCTTGGGGCTCTTTCCAGTGCCTGAGTCAGCTCTTCATTGATTCAGCAACATCATTACTTATAGCTACAGTATAGGATAGAGGTACATATATAACTCACTATGTACAAGTATTCATTCAGATGGAAGGGGCTGGCCATCTGTTCCTGCTACAAGTATATAGTGAATTACAGGTAGAAAATGCATCTGCCTTCAGAGCATTTCCTCTATCCATAAGTATTTTTCAGGGTTGTTGTGAATATAAAAATAGTTAACCTATTAAGCACCTAGTAGAGTACTGGCATAAACATTCAATACATTTATTTCCAATAAATTAATTTTTTCCCCTTAAGTTAGCCACAGTCAATTTCTGCTCCTTTCAATCACAGAATTTTCCCCAATAGATGCCCACAGGACTAATCATATCTCCCCTACACCTTGCCCATGGCTGCTGCTAATGTCACTTATGCCTTCTCCTGCCACTCCACAGCTATTTGGGCTGCTGTCAGCTTCTATGACTTAAGGTGTCATTATTTCTATTGGGGTCAAAGCTGTTTGGAATGGTAAAGTTTTTCTAGTACTTGGATGCAAGATAAATAGCATTACTCTTCATATTTTCTACTTCATTATGAACTCTTAGTTTTATAAAGCCTAGCTCTTTTTACAACATATTTATCTCTATAAAGAGATTTTTAAAACCAGCAAAAATCGATAACATTCTGTCCTTTAGTGGTGTTAGATTAAATTACTACAATAAAGATTATTTAAGGAGCAGAAGAAGACACTGATTTTAGGAGCACCTAAGAAAAAAGAACATATCGTATGAAAACATATTAGGAAATGTTTGAAATAAGACATACCAATCGGCTGAACATGTAACAAGTTGACAGCATATTCCACTTCGATTCTCAAACACCGAGCCCATTCTGTTAATCTATTTTTTAAAAATTCAAAAAAGGAAATTCTGTGTACTTACAAGAGTAATGTTTTTTTCTTATAGCTGCTTACCTTTTTATTTCTTTTCTTCTTTGTTTTAAATTTTAATAAAAGAACATAGCACTACCACAGAAGTTGGTAAATAGAAGGTTTTTTTTTTTTCCTTTTTGTCTTTTTTCGTGTCCGGCAATGGATCGCAACCCTCAGTGTTGCGCCCGTACCGGACCGGGACCGGCAACGGAATCGCAACCCTCGGTGCTGCGCCCGCACCTCGCTCAGCCAGTGAGCAGGAACCGGTCTGTATGTGGGATCCGAACCCTCGGCGGGAGCACCGCTGCGCTCCCAAGCGGCGCACTGTAGCAGTGCGCCACCGGGCCGGCCCCAATAGAAGGTTTTAAAATCAAACCCAATTCTGCCATATATTCTTGTCTAGTCCTTTGTCACAGAAACATTTTAAATATAGTTTTAATTAGAATGCATATACATTTTTATCTTGAGATTTTTCACTTCACATATTTACCTGTGAATTCATTTACCTATATATTCGTAAATTATTTTGATAGTTTCATAACATGTAGATGATGGTATAAGTTCATTATCTGTTATTATTAGAAATGTAGGCTCTTTCAATTTTTCACTGTCAATTGAGTCAAACATAGGGGCTTTTATGAGATTGCTTAACATAAGATCAACAGAAAAGAGGATAGGTGTTAAAGAAGAAAGCGATGGTGTGGTGGGAATGCTGAGACCTGATACTTTCTGTAACTATTGGCACAACTCTGCAAGCACAGAGGATCTCCAGGAGGGTTTATGGCTCCTCGGGGTCCTAGAAGGTCCAAAATTCCAACCCAGTAGCTCTCAAATGAGGTGAAAGGCTTTGAGGTGAAGTGTGAAGATGCTGCTCTCACAGTCCATAGGGACGCATGACTTTCCTCTATTCCCCTCCCCTCCCAAGAGGACTGATGAACAAAATAGTACACAAAGGTGGGCTTCCAGCGGCAAACAACAACAACAGTGAAAGGAGGGGTGGAGGAAGGTGTGGGTGATGCCCTGTCAGGTTTGCTTAACATAAGATCAACAGAAAAGAGGATAGGTGTTAAAGAAGAAAGCGATGGTGTGGTGGGAATGCTGAGACCTGATACTTTCTGTAACTATTGGCACAACTCTGCAAGCACAGAGGATCTCCAGGAGGGTTTATGGCTCCTCGGGGTCCTAGAAGGTCCAAAATTCCAACCCAGTAGCTCTCAAATGAGGTGAAAGGCTTTGAGGTGAAGTGTGAAGATGCTGCTCTCACAGTCCATAGGGACGCATGACTTTCCTCTATTCCCCTCCCCTCCCAAGAGGACTGATGAACAAAATAGTACACAAAGGTGGGCTTCCAGCGGCAAACAACAACAACAGTGAAAGGAGGGGTGGAGGAAGGTGTGGGTGATGCTCTGTCAGGTCTGGAGGCATCCCTGGAGCTCGGCCACCACAGTGCTGGCTGACACAGCGGTGCGAACCGGTTCAGGTTCGCCAGCGGCTGCCAACTTCCACTGGGGTCTGATGAACAGTCCTCGAACGTGCGTTGTGCTACCTCTCCCTTTACTGAGGCTTCTTTGCCGCATGAAGTCAGAGACAAGAGATGTGCTTGCTCTAGGGTTTTAGGTTTTAATGATTAAAAAATAATAATATTACAGAAGTTTGGAAAACAGAAGGTTTTGAAATCAAATATAAATCTTCTTTTCCAATCTTCTTTCCCAATCTTCTTTCATGGATACACTTTGACATGATTTTTTAAGGTGTGCGTGTAATTTTGTACCTTGAGGCACTAATTGGATTGTTTCTTAGTATGAATTCCCACTTCAATTACCAAATTGAAAATTTGGATGACTTAAGAACTGCATTGACTAACCGTTCCAAAAGTTTTATGTTGCAATCAGCAATCTTAGTGTTAACTGGTCCACCTCATCCTTTTCAACACTGAGTATTGCTTGAAATTTTCATTTAAAAATTAAGTCCAAAATAGTACATTATTGTTGGTTTGTTATTAAATTGTTTGATATTAGAAAGCCTCGATGATTTTCATGCTGATTTACTAATTGTTTTGTTTAGTGTGTGTGTTTTGCTTATTTATTGGAAATTTTTATATTTACCATATTTGGCACAAATATGTTCCTCCATTTAGTTATTTGCTCTTTATTTTTTAATTTAGAAATTTATATGTTATGTTTTAAATCTGTCAATCTTTCTCTTTGAGATTTCTTTCAACATTAAAAAACTTAGAAAACTATTGCCATCTTAGAAATCTGATATTCTATTATGATTTGCTATATTTTTCTATGACTCAAGTTATTTTTATTGAAATTAATAACATCTAAATTAATTTCTGTGTATGGTATGAGTTGAAATGGACTTCTTTTTCTTGTGTTATAACTTTCATTATTATATGTTAAATAATTATAGATAAGAGAAACTGTATCTGGGCTATTTATTTTGGTCCATTATGACTGTTTAAAATATCATTGCTTTACATAATCTATTAAATGGACTTCTTTTTCTTGTGTTATAACTTTCATTATTATATGTTAAATAATTATAGATAACAGAAACTGTATCTGGGCTATTTATTTTGGTCCATTATGACTGTTTAAAATATCATTGCTTTACATAATCTATTTGAATACCTGGTAGAGTTAATTACCTCTCATAACTCTAATTTCTCAGGATATTTTTTGATATTCTCAACTGTTAATTCTTCAGAGTATACAGTTGACTATCAATGTCCTTGAAGTAAACATTGGGGAGCTTGTCAGTTTCCAAATTCAAAACTACCACCCTTTGTGAGGTTATAGAACCACAAAGCATAGAGTTACAAAGCTTGGCAGTCAGGCAGGCTCACTTACTATGCAAGTAGTTTTCACCTACCAGCCCCTCAGCACTGTCAACTCAAGGCTGTGCCTCAACAAATTACATATTACAATATGACACAGATCCTTAGGGCTGCCTGTCCCCAAATAGCTGTGATCGTAAATTTTTAATTCATAAATACTAAGGGTGTAAAATACTTGCACTTTACTTTTACATATCAAACCCTCATCTTCCCCACTATTGTATTAGGTCAATGTTGACACCACCTACATTTTTTAGTTATAAACCATCCAAGTCAAAAAGACTGGCTTTATTCTCATCCCCAAATCAGACACTGGTTGGGCAACAGTGACCCAATTTTTTGACATTTAGTTCCTGGTTATTTCACAATTTGAATGTGAATGAATCAGTGACTTGAAACATCATTTTTGGATAAAATCTGAAAATTTACAATCCAGTAGGAGGAAAGTATAAAGCCATCGAGACTCACCTCAAATGTGTCAGACAGCCAGTGTATATCCGTAATTACTTTCTTATGTCCACTTTCTATTGAAGAGACTGCACAATGTCTGATATACATCGCTTCTTTATTACTCTCTGGATCAAGGAGAAACATAGGCTGGAGAAACGTTAAAAGAAAGTTCCATGCTAATTTCAGAGAGCTGACGGGTGAACTCACATTTTACTCATGATTCTAATTAAAATTAATAACTCAGAGATATACCAGTTCAAGGAAAAACATAAATTAGTGTTTCTATATACCATATATTTAAGTAATAGGATTATCTACTGTTCCCTTTAGTTTAGTCTAAGATATGATCTCGAAATTTAACAAGTATTGTAGACCTACTCCCTAAAGAATCAATGAGACCTCACATTTTTGAACGAGTATTTCTTGGCGTGCACGAAAGGTCACATACCACCATTCCTTGGTAAGAGACCTGTTGATGTGAAGGCTGAGGAACTGAGGCTAGATGGATGTGCAATAGGGTGGGTAAGTGCAGAGTTGGGAGCTGAGGAAACTTTTCCCAACCTTCTTAACAGAATCCACAGCCTCACAAAATCATAGTCTGAGGGTACTTCAAAAAGTTCATGAAAAAATAGAATTGAAAGGTAATACAAATCTTTCCATGAACTTTTTGAAGTACCCTCATATATTAGTATCAGAAAGGACTGCAACCCTTCATTTTATACAAGAGCAGACTTATTCCTGCTGGGGGGAGGCGGCACGCCCACACTCGTACGCCCAGGATATGATGCAAAGCCTGCACCCAGCCCCTCTTCCAGTGCCCTTTCAGCTACATCACTCACTTTAGGCAAGTCGCTTAGTCCCTTCATTTTATTTAACAAATAACAGAAAAGAACCTAACATCCTGGGATAGATGTTGTGTTGTGTTTTTAACCAATGGCCCACATAAAAGAAATTTAGAACATGTCCACAAGCAGATGTGAAGACTTGCGGAATAATATTCTCTTTCATTTATTTATTTATTTTTTATCGAGTCTTTGTTAGGTTTGGCAAATCTGTTATGTGCTTTTTGATAAACTTCTGAATGGAAAAAACTTGCAAATGAAAAGTTATAAAAGCTAACCTTGAGTGTGGCTTTTTTACTTCTACTACCACCCGACTTAATGTTTTCTATGCGATCTGCATGTGCAGTGATATCCCACATGACAATCTAAAACAGAAATAAGTGTTATTATGACATTTTCAGGAAATAGCTAATTGGGTCTTAAAGATTTTTTAAAAACTATTGGTACGCAGCCTGATAAATCAATCACCTTGGGGATAAAAAACTTCAGCCTATACCTTAGGTAGCAACATTTAAAGCTAATATGAGAAAGAATGTTTTCTTCTGTACAAGAGTATCTTCAGTATTTTGATTTTTATCCTTGTGTTAATAAAAGCTAGTATTTTGTAAAATCCAAGATATCCATCATGCAATTTCCCTTTGCTTTGGGAACAGTTCTTCCTCTGTCTTTGGGAATGTGCTGTGATTGTGGGGACAGCTGCTTTAGACACAGGGGAAAACTCCCCAGAGTTAAGTACAAACACCCAGTTGTCTGAAAAAGGCTGGAAAGTGATGATTTCTCTTTAACTAAATATTATGACCAACTCTGAATTTGTATATACCTGGATGGGCATTTTTTGAAAAATCACAAACACCCAGTTGTCTGAAAAAGGCTGGAAAGTGATGATTTCTCTTTAACTAAATATTATGGCCAACTCTGAATTTGTATATACCTGGATGGGCATTTTTTGAAAAATCAGAATAAAGTAGAATATGCAACCTAAATTAAGATTATTTTTTAATGACTAAAAGGTATTTCAGTGCACTAAAATGTTAACAAAATGTCACAGTTACAGAACTGTGAGTGATTTTATTTTCATCCTGTGCTTTTTAAAGATATTCTAAAACAAAGTCATATTACCTTCGTAGTAAGTAGAAAAGGCATTTCAGGATTTGCAAGGATTAGAGGATGGGCTCTGGGTCATCATTATGACCCTCACTTATTGTTGAACAAAACTGGGGGAGAAAATTTGTTTTCCCGATTGATTTGGTTCTGGAGAAATAGGCATGAAACCTGCAGATGTACATATTTCAACGACAAGGAAGTTTTCCTAGCCGCACTAAAAAGATTATATATCCTCCTTTTAATGGTCAAATCCACTGGATCACAATGAATTTAAACTATGATCATAAAATAAACAGGATATTGGAGGACAGAATCTAAATTGTATATAAATTAGTCAACATAATCCAATAAAGCTAGTGTCCTTACAAGAAGAGGAGATTAGGACACAGAAATGATGTAAGTACTACCACGAAATTTTAAGTAATATGTGTTCTGTGTGATTTTTTTTTATTTGAGATGTACATGTCATTATATCATTCCACTATAATACTATAAGCAAATATTATAAAATTTTAAATATTTCTATTTCTATTGAACTATTAGAGTTTGAAGAATTCTCAAAATAATCCAAAACTGGTATTTTATTTTTAGTATTTGATTTTATTTGAGATCACAAAAATCATCCAGTCAGCTATATTTAATACCTACTCAGATTCACTTTCTGGAAAGTCTGAAGAACCTTAAAAAGTTTCACAGAAACATTCCCTCTGAGAAAGAAATGTTTTATGTTTCAAACAGTGGACAAAATGCTTTGTTAAAAGAAATCAAATAACTTTTTTTTTCGAGATTAGACATTTCTGATCAACATTTATGGTGAGAAACCACAGGTTTAAATGTTCATGTTTATCGTTTGTTTTTAAATACAGAATGAGAACTCTTAAAAACAGGAAGGGATGAGAGTTTTTAGACTAAGCAAAGCCAGAAATTGTGCTAAAAAGAAGAGAGATTTCCTGAGACAAAAAAAAAAAAAAAAAACCTAGATTCCGCATTGTGCCAGCTGGTGACCTGAGCAAGTCACTTTCCTGAGTTGAGCTTTGGTCCTCTCCTTGTAAATGTGAAATAGAGTTGTCCTATAAGATTGCAGGGAGGACACATGACCGCAAAGTGCTTGGCAGGTGCCTGGCACTTGGCTAAAGGAAGTTGTTCTACTGAAATTGAGCAAGTTTGCCATTTTACATATAAAAGCAACTGACTATTTCAATGTCATCACAAAAGGGGATCCCTGTCATCTCCAACTCACCGTAGATAGTTGGATGCCATGAGACACAGGTAATCATTTTCTCCATTGGGCTATGAAGGTCGGTAAAGGACTGGTACTCTTTCAGGTGGGTATCAGTCTTGTCCCCAAAGGTGCCTTCTTCTTCTGCCAGGCATTTCCAGTCATCAATAAATGTGTTCATGATTTCATTTTGCTGCAGGGCTATTTCAACACTATTTTGTAAAAAATAGTAATTAAGATGTTGGGTTTTAGTGTTCAATGATACGACTACTTTAGCAGCTCCTCCTACTTTCTTTATACTGAACAAAAAATAATAATTAATTCTCAGCTATATTTTGTAATAATGATGAATCCCATGTGAAATAAATGACTTAAGAGAAAAAAAAAATTCATGGCAGTTTGCTACTCAAAACTTCTTTCAAGAACTTGCTGTCTAGCTGTCAGGAGGGCCGTCAACTGACAGCCTCCAGCAACGTCGTGATCTGCCTGGGTTTCCAAGCCAAGGCCTTTGCTGTGTCCAGGCTAGTGACAGAACATGGCAGCTGCAGGGGGGCCAGGGCCTGACCATTCTACCTTGTGAATGTCCATGCCTAGGAAAATTGCCTTTGTGACTCCTCCAACAGGCTGTCTTTGCTCTGGAGCTCCTGTTGGGTAGGCTGAGAATTTGTCTAAAGCTCTGCCTGTCCGATCCTGCTTTCTCCTCCTTTCTTTTTCACAGTGTAACCCTCAGTAAACTTCTATTTCTAACTTTGTCCCATCTGCAGCCCAAACTGACATAAAAGACAATTTTCTTAGACATATTCGCTCAGTACTAAACAATCACTTACACTAAATGAGGATAGCCCAAATACATATATAATTCAAAACAACCAATAGGAGATTCTCAACAAAGGCAGATTTGGAGTTTAGAAGTGTGTGTGCGTGTGTGTGTATGTGTGCGTGTACTGGTGGTTTTAGTTGTCACAATGCCTGGGAGATGCTGCTGTGTTTAATTCTGTTGCCAAACCTCCTGCAACGCATGAGACAGTCCATAAAATGAAGAATTATCCTGTTAAAAATGCTAATATCACTCCTTTAAGAAACGATCTAAGTGCTAGGATCATCTCTTAATAGTCTAGGGGCCCTGGTTTGACAGGTTCCCATCTTAAAATAGGTGCTATAATGTTTACTATACCTTTATATGGTTAGGTTTGAAAGCTCAGCTCACTCCAAGGCCTCTTGGAGCTTTCCCACAATTAGAATGCCAACCAAGGTTTCACCTTAATGATCAAAAGTCCAAATATCTTGGGGTTTTTTTAAATAGCTGTGCTAAGCTAAAAGAGTGGTTCTCAATAATAAATCTCTTAAAATGAAGAAAGAACTCTATTTAGATAATTAAATATAAACACTAAATATCATAATAATACCCTTAAAATGTAAAAAAGGGTACCATTTGATAGCTGTCATTAATCATTATTACTATCAGTCGTTGCTTAATTGAATACACTTGGTTAAATTCTTCTTTCAAAACAGAAGCATTTTCTAGGAACTTGCTACTCAAGGTGTGGTCCATGGACCAGCAGCAGCAGCATGACTTGCAGCTTGTTAGAAATGCAGAGTCACTAGCTCCACTCCAGACCTACTGAGTCAGAACCTGCATTTTAATAAGATCCCCAGGTGGTGCATATTCATATTAAGCTTTAAATAACCCTGTGTAGGGTATGTTCACACCCAGTTTCAAGTATACACATTGGTTAGCATCTTCACAATCTTTTTTCTTTCTGTTTCAGCCTGAATGAGAAAGGAATTCTCAAGAGAATTCCTCTCTGGTTTCCTGTTTCTTCCCTCTCAGCCAGAAAGGGAAAATAATTCACAAGGGAGAATGAAGATGGCACGTTTCTTCTGGTTTCCAGTTTCTTGATGTTCTGGAACGACGTGGCTCCTGAGAGGACTGAATTGGAGGCTGGCAAAACTGTTGTCTGAGGCAAAGTCCATGAATATCATTGTTTTTGTTTTTAACCCCAAAATGAAGGTTCCTTGGTCGCTTTGTGAGGCCCCTTTAAGTTTCTCTCTCTTCTCTCATATCATTTCCTTCATTTGCAAATAATGCTTTCCTTAGGTTTGTTTTAGATAAAATTCTAAAAGAAAGAAGGAACTCATTTATTTCTAAAAGGGCTTTCTTCCAGAACAAAATCAGGCTCAAATTAATTTTAAAATATTAGATAAAACTTAGTTTTAAAGTATGGCACTGATATAAACGTGGGTTTCTCATTTGCTCTTGGCCAGTTCTATTATTATTCCTGTGCAAATTTTCCTCTTAAAATTCTGGCTTTTTCTTCCCACATCTTAGGTGGGGAATTATAAAGCTGTTCATTATTCCTTTCTTTATAATCATGGCAAATGAAAGAGAATAAAAGCCCACGTCTAAAGATAATACATAATGTAGATAATCAAGCATTGACTATAGGCCATTTATTTTGAACATTGCTTTTTTCCTCAAGGTCTAGTTGCCCCTAGAAATTGATCATATATAAACAGACTTTTTTTTTTTAAAGATTTAAAATGCTTTTCTGCATAAAGCTAACTGTTAAAAAATCTTTCTAGCTTGAGTTATCATTACAATTATAATTAGTACACAACTGGTAAAAGCAACATAAAGATATTATATGTTTAGACATATAATTATTCAATACATGAAGTAAAATTGTGGTTAATATTTTATTTATTTATTTTTCCTTGTACATTTGTATGGCACACAGTTTGTTCTTTCAGTACATGCATATATGTTACATAATGATCCAATCAGAATAGTTAACATATCTGTCATCTGAACTTTTATCAAAATGTTCTATTTCTTCTTGGCTCAGTCTCGGCAAGTCATGTGCCCAGGAATTTTTCCATTTCCTCTAGGTTTGCAAGTTTATTGGCATATAGTTGTTCCTTCTAGCCTTTACTGATCCTTTGAATTTTGGTGGTATCAGTTGTAATATCTCCTTTTGTGTTCTGATTTTATTTATTTAGGTCTTTTCTTTTTCTTGCTTAGTCTAGCTAATAGTTTGTCAATTTTGTTTATCTCTTCAAAAAACCAACTTTTCGTTTGATTGCTCTTTTGAATTGTATTTTTAGTCTCAATTTCACTTATTTCTGCTCTGATATTTATTATTTCTTTTCTTCTACTTATTTTGGGTTTGGTTTGTTCTTGTTTTTCTAGTTCCTTGAGATGCATTGTTAGGGTGTTTATTTGAAATCTTTCTATTTTTTTGATGTAGGTGTGTATTGCTATCAACTTTCTTCTTAATACTGCCTTGGCTGTATCTCATAGACTTTGATATGTTGTGTTTCTGTCTTCAATGGTTTCAAGAAATGTTTTGATTTCCTTCTTAATCTCTTCTTTGAATCTTGGTCATTCAAGAGCATGTTGTTTAATTTCTATGTATTTGTGTATTTTCTAAAGTTCCTTTTGTTATTGATTTCTGGTTTTATTTCATTTTAGTCAGACAAAATAGTTGATATGATTTCAATTTTTTTTTTGAACTTGTTGAGACTTGTTTTGTGGCCTAACATGGTCAGTCCTGGAGAATGTTCCATATGCTGATGAAAAGAATGTGTATTCTGGAGCTATTGAATGAAATGCCCTGTATATGTCTGTTAGGTTCATCTGGTCTAGAGTGCCCTTAAAGTCCAATGTTTCATTGTTGATTTTCTGCCTCGATGATCTGTCCAACACTGAGAGTGGGGTGTTAAGGTACCCAACTATTATTGTGTTGGTGTCTATCTCTCCCTTTAGATCTGATAATATTTGCTTTATATATCTGGGTGTTCTGGTGTTGGGTGCATATATGTTTATAATTGTTATAACCTCTTGCTGAATTGGTCCCATTATCATTATATAATGTCCTTCCTGTTAGTACAGATTTTGATTAAAAGTCTGTTTTATCTGATATAAGAATGGGTACTCCAGCTCACTTTTGTTTTCCATTTGCATGGAATATCTCATCCCTTCTCTTTCAGTCTATGGTAAGTAAGGTGTGTTTCTTGTAGGAAGCATATGGATGGTTCATGTTATTTTTATCCATTCAGCCAGTCTATGTCTTTTATTTTTTTATTTATTTTTATTTTTTATTTTTTTGTCTTTTGTCTTTTTCCGTGTCCGGTAACAGATCGCAACCCTCAGTGTTGCCCCCGCACCAGACCGGGGACCGGCAACGGGATCGCAACCCTCGGTGTCGCTCCCGTGCCTCGCTCAGCCAGTGAGCGGGAACCGGTCTGTATGTGGGATCCGAACCCTCGGGCGGGAGCGCCGCTGCGCTTCCCAAGCGGCGCACTTATCCAGTGCGCCACCGGGCCGGCCCCCAGTCTATGTCTTTTAATAGGGACATTTAACCCATTTACATTCAATATTCCCATCATTTTGTTGGTTGTTTTCTGATTGTTTTCTATATGCTTTGTTCCTTTCTTTCTCTCTTACTGTCTATTCTTGTGTTTGGATGGTTTTCTTTATTCATAAGGTTTGATTCCTTTCTCTTTCTAATTTGTGTATCTACTGTACCAGTAAGTTTTATATTTTCAAGTGTTTTCATGATGGTTATTATTGTTCTTTCTGTTCTAGACGTGGGACTCCACTAAGTATTTTTTGTAAGGCCTGTCTGGTGATGATGAATTCTCTTAATTTTTGATTGTCTGAGAAAGATTTTATTTCTACTTCATTTCTGAAGGATAGCTTTGTTGGGTATAATATTCTTGGCTGGCAGTTTTTTTCCTTCAGTGCTTTGAATATATCATCCCATTCTCTCCTGGCCTGTAGGGTTTCTGCTGAGAAGTCGGCTGTTAGTCTAATGTGATTCCTTTATGAATGACTTAATCTTTTTCCTCTCATTGCTTTTAGAATGGTATCTTTGTCCTTAACTTTAGATAGTTTGGCTACAACGTGTCTTGGAGAAGACCTATTTGGGTGGAATCTAAATCTGTTTGGGGACCTTTGAGCTTCCTACATTTGACTGTTCATATCTTTCCCAAGACTAGGGAAGTTTTCAGCTATTATTTGATTAATAGGTTTTCAACATCTTTTTTGTTTTATTCTCCTTCTGGAATGCCCATAACTGAATATTTGCTCACTTAATAGTATCCCATAGATTTTGTACACTTCATTCATTCTTTATTTGTCTTCCTGTGTTATTTCAAAACTGTGTTCAATATTAGAAATTCTTTCTTCTGCTTGAGCTAGTCTTGTTGAGACTCTCAGACGTATTTTTTACTTCAATGAATTCAATTCCAAGATTTCTGTTTTTTTAATGATATCTATCTCTCTGTAGAATTTCTCATTTAGATCATGCATTATTTTTCTGATTTCATTGGATTGTTTGTATTCTCTTGTATCTCAGTGAGTTTCCTTAAGATAATTAATTTGAACTCCTTTTCCACACATCAGCAATTTCTAATTCTTTGGGATCAGTTACTAAGCATTATTGTATTTCTTTAGTAGTGGTGTGTTACCTCATTTTTTCATGTTTCTTGTTTTCCCTGTGTTGATATCTGTGCATCTCATGGAAGAGTCACCTCTTTGAATTTTATAGAGTCGCTTGTTTCCCCTATAAATATGTTCTGGGGTGTTGATCAGGAGCTGGTCTGCTGAGGGTGGGGCTGCTGAACCACTTCTTAGGTGGTGGGTGAGGCTGTTTGGCAGGCCTGCAGAGAGGGCAGCTACCTTTCAAGTGGTGGGCAAGGCCTCACGGTAGGGCTTTGGAAAGGGGGGCCTAGCCAGCAGCTTCTCAGGTGGTGGATGAGGTCTGGAAGTAGACCTGATTAAGGGAGTCCTGGCCAGCAACTTCTTGGGTGGTAGGTGAGGCTGCTCAGCAAGACTGTTGAGCAAAAAACCACCTGGCTGTTTCTCCAGGAGGGTGCAGATGCACTTTATTTCCACCAGCCCAAGTGCATATTCACTAGGGTAGAGACCCATGAGCTGTTTTTCTGTGGTAATGATGGGAGTTAGTGTGGGTCCTCTGCCTACCTTTTCATCTAAGGGAAAATTCATCCTGCACTGGTCCAGTGTTGGAGATGGCAGCTGAGGCCATGTGTCTCTTTCCTCTCTACACTGCCATACTGGGCTTTCATGCTCCACAGGGATGGCACCAGTCTCCTGCTGCACTCCTACACTCTCCCACAGATGTTCCCATCAATATTTAGCTATTAGTTGTTCTGGTCTTTTTCTGTGAGAGGAACGTATTATGGGCACCTCTAGTCTTGCCCCACCTCTCCCAGACTTCTTATTTTAATGTTCTTATCAGGATAAATTTTAATGACTACTTAATTTTGATATGAGGGAAAAGAGACTTTAGGTTTTCTTCTTTCTTTCTCATTGCCCACATAGGAAAAAATATAGCATGTTTCCTGTGAATGCCCAATAGTCAATGTACTCTCTGAATCATTAAATGAATTTCTGAACTAGATTTTCCCCAGGCATAGGAAACAACTTTTGACAGTTGTTGGAATTTTCAGGACATTTAACAGTCTGAAAGAACGAGTGATGTTTTCTTAAAAATAAAAACAAAAAAGCCTAACTTGAGCTATAAATGACTTGACCACCAAATTTTTAATTCGGGGAAAAAATTAAAAGCAACCTATTGAGTACAACTGGCAGACTTTTCCACCATTGGTTCCACTTCTCTGGACTCTGATATTATCTTGATGAGACCTTGTCAAACTCCTTCTCTGGTTTCAAAGCTCCAGGGCTCTGCCCAGGGTTCTAGTACCAGCACAGGAGGTGTTTTGAAGACACCTCTCTTTCAGAGCCAGTAAGAGTGGCAGCAAGACAGGAATCAGCAAGAAGGGTGACATATCCAAAAAGTACATCTGAATTGAATTCAGGTTCTCATTTACAAAGATATATATATATATATTTTTTTTTTTTCCTTTTTGTCTTTTTTACTGACCGGTAACGGGATCACAACCCTTGGCGTCACGCCCGTACTGGGGACCGGCAACGGGATCACAACCCTTGGCGTCACGCCCGTACTGGGGACCGGCAACGGGATCACAACCCTCCGTGTTGCACCCGCACTGCGCTCAGCCAATGAGCGGGAACCCATCTCCACATGGGATCCGAACCCTCAGCGGGAGCACCGCCGCGCTCCCAAGCGGCGCACTCTCCAATGCGCCACCGGGCCGGCCCTACAAAGATATTTTTGCAAATACCTATCATAATAATGATCATCATCTTTCATGTCCCCAGAATCCTCATCCTTATCATCCTACAAAAGTCAATGAAGCTAAGAAGGGGAGAGAGGAGTGGAGGAAGAGACTTACATTTTTTTTTTTTTTTTGTCTTTTTTGAGACTGGCCGCACCATGCTCAGCCACTGAGTGGTGACCGGCCATCCCCATATAGGATCCCAACCCGCGGTAGGAGCGCTGCTGCACTCCCAGCGCCGCACTCTCCTGACTGTGCCACAGGCTCGGCCCTTAAATTTTAAAAAACCATCATAAATACAAATAATTGTTAATTTGCAATTAGGAAAACATCCTTACACACTCACCTGTTCACACTGTGTTTGGTGTGGCCCTAGCTTGGGAGGTCTAGGATGCTGCTCAGCAATAGAAGGGAAATACTGAGAACTGCAGAATGTGTCACATGAGCATGTACAACTGATGACTGTCTTCATACTTTCTATCTAGACACCACATGTGGAATTGTTTATTAAGATCTATTATCATAAGTTAACACAAACATTTTATGGTTCATTTTTAAATGTTAATATACAATTTTTTACCTTATGGACACATTGTTAAGAAAATCAACCAAAGACTTTGATTGTCCAAGTGTCTCTTTTTCCTTTTCTGAGAATTCTCTTGGATAATATTGTGTAGTAGCATTTTTGGGATATGTCCTAATATATTAAAAGAAAATTGAATACCAAAAATTAGATCAAAGAAAAGCAAATATAGGTTATGACAAGTCAAAAATTTGCCTCTGTGACAATGATATTAGGATATTATTTTATATTTAAATTCTATATATTGAATTTTTTTCTTTATCCTAGACAATTATATTGACTACCCTTAAGTCTACATGTATTTCTCTCCAATATAATCAAAAACTCTTGTTTTGTAAAATTTTTATTTAGAAATCATTTTAAACTTCTAGAAAACTTGTAAGAAGGGTATAAGAAATTCCCATATACCCTTCACCCAGATTCATCAATTATTAACATTTTGCCATGTTTCCCTTGTCATCCTCTCTCCCTTCATTTTATTAAATCAGTGTTTTTTCACGAGTACAATCCACCCCACCCTCTTGAGGAACATTTGACAATGTCTGGAAACATTTTTGGTTGTCACAACCGGGAAGTGCTCCTGCTGTCTAGTGGGTAGAGCCCAGAGATGCTGTTAAACACTCTACAAAGCACAAGATAGCCTTCCCACAACAGAGAATTACCCAGCCCAAAATGTCAGCCATGTTGAGGTTGAGAAACCCTGCTCTAAATATACAAAACTAGGAACAAGTTACACGCGGGCAGTGATGGCAGCACAGTCTCTAAAAGAAATCTTGTTCCATCCAGTCTGCCCTCAGTACTCACCTCCACCCATGAATGTGTCACATGGCATTGCACCTCTAGGTTTGGTTGTCAGTCTCGTCCATGAGACTGGGTGAGCCCTTAATATTAGCGTGTGGGCTGTGGCGAGGTCATATGGTGCTATCATTAAATAGAGTGTGAACTCTGAGGACAGACTGTCTGGCTTTGAAGCCTGGTTCTATCACTTACTAGCTATGCAGCCCTGAGCTAGTTATTTAACCTCTCTGTGCCTGTTTTCTCACCTATAAATGAAGGTCTTAAAGTACCTAGCTCACAGAGTTATTGTAAGGATCAAATGTGTTAATACGAGGGTACTTTAAAACATTCATGAGAAGATTCACATTATCTTTTCATTCTATTTTTCCAAGAACTTTTTGAAGTACCCTTGTATATGCAAAGCTTTTAAAATAGGCCTAGCACATTTTAAGTGCTCAACAAAATATTAAGTAATAGTTAATCTGTGTTTGTTGAAAAATGTCAGTAAAATGTCTCTGTGAGAGGGAAATATATTAAATGGAGAGTAATCAGGCAGAGGGGTAAAGAGAGTTTTGATTACATTTAATAGAATAATTCATTCTTTTATTCCCTGCTTTGTTCAATATCCATAGCAGAAGACATAGCATGAAGGAAAGAAAGAATATTGGTATTGTAACCAGAAAGATTTGGGTTCAAATCTAAGCTTTACATTTTAATAGAAATTTTACTTTTACATAGGAATTAAAAGGTAAGTTAAATAGAAATCTCCAGGTAGGATTACATAAAAAATCATATGGTGCCTGGTGGTTTTACCGAAGTAACAATACGACTAAGAGTCACTCATTTTAAAAATGTGATTTGTTTTGTTGTTTTTCAGCAAAACTATTCATTACTGCTTCAGATTTAAATTATGTTCCAAACATTGAGCTTTCATTTTTAACCTCTTTGCCTCAGTTTTTTAATTTGTAAAATGGGCATACTGCCTATCTAGTGGACAGTTGTGAGGATTAATTGAATCGATGTGTGAAAAGCACTTAGAAGAATGCCTGGTACATGATAGGAACACTGTAAGCACTTGCTGTCACTGTCATTACTTTTTGAACCTCATCTTTGATTATTTTTGACTTCCTACATCACAGTCATATATCCTATCTTTTCCGCCTTATACCAACAATGCTTCCTAATTTCCTGATCTTAGTAAGTGGTCCCAGCGTTCTCCCACTCATCTAGGTTAAAACCATTTGGGCTCCTTTGTGGGTCAAGGCATGCCCTTACTTCTCATCTATTAACTCTATATAGAAACAACTGTCACTATTTTTATCGGCCAGCATTCATTGAGAGCCTACTACATCCAAAGTCCTGTGGTTGGTTCCTGTTGTCGGAGGTTTAGTGTCCCTTTCTAAGTCAATCTCCTGAGTGTACCCTGGCTGACTTATTCTTGGGAGTTGTCTGTCTGGTAAAAATATAGAAGAAATCTCTGGCTGGCTTGGCTTAGAAATTGGTCTCAAAATCCATGTTTCTTTGGTACTAATGTATCATCTCTCTCCTTCCTGTTCTGCCTTCACTTGTTGACATTTACAAGTGTCTGATGTCCTCAGTCCCTACCAGAACTTGACTACCAGTCCTTGCCTTTCTCCTCACCTCCTCTGGTTCTGGACTCTTTATTCATCTGCTTTCCTGGTTACTGACTCATTTTGTGGCCCAACCCCTGGTGTCTACGTCTGTGTGCCCTGACTTTAATGTTGCACTTTCATGGCTTCTGACAAGTTGGTTCACATAAATCTGAAAAGCACTTTTTGTACTGCACTCCATGCTGCTGACCCTAATTCTCCTGGTCGTGACCCCTTCCACTGTGTGTGTCATGGCTCTTCTCTTAACACCAAACTCAAGTTTATCAACATTCTGTACATTCCCCCTTAACCCAATTCCTCTCCTCCTCCTTTCCTTCCTTCCTTCATTTTTTCCTCTATTTAATAAATGTGTACCAGGAACTATCCCAGGAGTTGGGGATATATCAGTAAACAAAACAGAAAAAGTTCCTCTTGCATGGAGCTTGACTTCTAAGGGAGTGGAGAGAAGACAATGAAAAATACATCACTCAAGGGATGTCAGCACCATGGAGAAAGATGGAGTGAGGGGACAGATAGAGATGGGAGTTGTTTCTTTTATGTAGGAGTGTCAGGGAGTGCCTCATTTGAGCAGAGATCTGAATCAAGGAGGGAATGAGCCATAAAGATATCCGAGGGGAGAGCATTCTATGTAAAGGCACTGTTAGCATAAACACATCTGGTATAAGTATGTTGGGTAAATTCAAGGAATAAAGACACACGTGTGTCTAGAATGGATGAGCAAGCGGGACTGTAGGAAACGAGGGCAGAGGGGCAAAAGGGATCCAGATCCTATGAAGCCTTGTAGGTTCCTTCAGGATGGGAGACCACTCGAGGGTTTTGATCAGTGACATGACCTGATTTACATTTTAACAGGATTACTCCGGCTCCTCTACGGAGAGCAGAATGTTGGAGGCAAAGGATGAATAGAGAAAGCCCGGTTAAGAGGAATTATAATAACCCAAGCAAGAGATGATGATGACTTGGTCCAAGATGACAGCAGTGAATATACTTTAAAGACAGACAACAAAGCCTAAGATTTTTGGTCTGAGTAATGAGAAGAGTATCATTACCATTTAGTGAGATGAGGAAGAGTCAGGAAGTTTCCGGTTTGGAAGAAGTCAATCAAAAGTTTTTTGTCGGGCATGTTACATTTGAGACACCTATTAGACACTCAAGCAGATGAATACACGAGTGTAGAGTTCAGGGGAGAGATGGAGGTTGAGTGTGTGGATCTGGGAGTCATCAGCAGAGAGAAGACAGGTGACACCACAGGACTGGACAAATGCACTCAGGGATTAAGTATAGTTAGAGAACAGATCAAAAGGAGCAAGCCTTGGGTCCTCTAATGTTTGGAAATTGGGAAGAGGAGGATCGAGTAAAAGAGACTGAGAAGGGGCTGCCAGTGAGTTCGAAGGGGGACAATAAGAGCTATCCATAAGTCTGTTTGGGATGGAAAAAGTGTTTCAAGGAGAAACGGTCAACCATGTTAAACACCGCTGAGAAGCAGAGTGAGAGAAGGTCTGAAAACGGACCACTGGATCAGGCAATCAGACCACGGGAGGTCTTTGGTGACCTTGTTAGGACTGCTTGGAGTGGGCAACCATGTTAAACACCGCTGAGAAGCAGAGTGAGAGAAGGTCTGAAAACGGACCACTGGATTAGGCAATCAGACCACGGGAGGTCTTTGGTGACCTTGTTAGGACTGCTTGGAGTGGACTCAAGACAGAATGGTAGAAGAGAAAGTGGAACCAGAGAGAGTGGACACCTGCTATGAGGAGTTTTTTTTTGGAAAGAAAAGTAGAAATACCAGAAAACAGCTGGAGGGGTCAGGAAAGTTGGTTTTTGTTTGTTTGTTTAAATGATGAGAGTTACAGCATTTTGTATGTATACACGTCTCCTTTCCACCCTTTCCTCTCTGTGTGATGCCTTACTTTAGACACTGCTCGCATTCTACCTGGTTTAATTAAAACAAATTCCTATGTGGCCAATCTCCTCAACTCCAGGCTTCTCCTCCCTGCCCTCCAGTCAACAGCACCTGGCTCATCTTATTGTAAGAGCCTGACCCTCCTGCCTCTCCCTTGCTTCGGAACTTGCCAAAATTCCCTACTGTGTACCACCGAGAACCCCCTTCTCTGTCTACCTCCACTACTCCCTCCACTATACTCAGGCTGGTCTTCACGTGGTCCCATACAACAAAGTGTTTTTTCCCATTCCTTTGAATTTTTTAGGTCATTTAAAAAATTTGGGTTGTTTTCCCTTTCTCTCTGTCTCCAAATCCTGTTCCAAAGTTGTAGCTTATCTTCTACAATTTTGAAATTATTTCAAAATAAAAAGTTTTAAAAATCCTAAAAAATGCATGGCTTAGCTATGTCTTCAAATTTATACCACATTCGAAGCCTAGCTCAAGTCTATGAAGCATTCCCTCAGCAATCCATTTCACATCAATTCATTCACTGGATCAATTTTAATTAAGAACTTGCCATGTGAAAACAATATGGTTCATACCCTCAAAGTGCTCCAGATCTAAGGCAGACAGAAAGTAAACAATTGAGTACAATATGGGTCATCAGCCCATACTAAAGAGGACTCCAGGGAGGGAGTGATTGACTTTACCTGATGTTTCCAGCAAGTCACAGACAAGGGGGCACCGAACTGTATGTTAATGAGTAAAGAAGGGTCATCCAGGTGAACAAGGCAGTGAAGGGCATTTTAAGCAGAGGAATAACATGAGCAAAGGCAAGAAGATGTGGGAGAGCAGCTATTCTGGAAACTGGAAGCAACTCATAGGGTTACAGCACAGCGGGCTTGTTTAGGAACAGAAGGAATGAAGCTGGAGAAGCAGGTGCCTTGTCATGAAGGAAGGAAGACCTTATATGCCATCCTAAGGGCTGTTAAGGATGGACACATTTCTATAAGTGATGGGGAGCCAAAGAAGAAATCTAGGCAATGAAGTAACAATCCGATTTGACATGTGTGAACAATCACTAGGCAGTGGAACAGAGCAGTTATGAGGCAATGGTAATATTCCAGGTGAGAGGTGACCAGCACTGGCATGATTAACAGCATCACTCATTTTCCCACTTCATAGTCTCTACAATCTTATATACTTATAGCTCATTTTCTTAAGATTTTTAAGACATTGCTGGGCATAATTAGATCTTCCTAAATTGAATTACTCTCAAGATTTATGTCATTATTGCTAATCCATTTCTATTTATTATAAAGATCTCTGAAAATAATTGTGGAAGTTGCTAGATTTTACTGTAATTGGCTGTAAAAATACATAAACCAGTCACATACTTACCATCTTGTCTGAGTACTTGTGTCCTTGGTTTGGGGAACTACTTGCATGCCAACATCTTTTTCAAGTAGTTTGAGAGTAAAATTTTTATCTGGGTAGGCTGTACATTCAACATAAGCATCTTTTACACTGGAAGCATTCTGGTCACTGAACTTAATAGGTGCACCAAATTCACTTCGTTTTCGAGAAATCATGTATGTAATCTGCAACACATGTAAGCAGTAAAGTTAACATAATGAAGTCCCTGGAGAAAAATGAATGTGTGGTAGACACCGTTGGTGCTCTGCTCAGATCCTCTCAGATCCCTCTGTACACTTGCTGCAGGTCCCTCCAGCCCTGTGGGCTCTCCATGCCCATGGGCAGCACCTGCCACTCCTCTTCAGAGTGCTGCTTTAGGGCTACTGCAGGTACAAAGAACAGAAGACACTGGCAGTGCTCATCTTGACCAGCGGTGGACTGGGAGGAGGCATATGTAAGTCCATCTCCTCAGCTTCTGTTTGGAACAACTCTGAGGTGTAATTTCCACTTGAGTTCCTCTACACATTCTGAAGCCTTCCCTCTGCTGGACTTTTGCCTGAGATTGCACCCCACTGGGCTTCTTCCATGTCCCTGCCCTACTGCTTTACCTGTTCTCTTATAAATTATTCATTATAAACCATTCACACACAAACCCTCCTTTCAGGAGTTGCTCTGGGAACACTACTCTATCCATATTCTAGGGCTGCCATAACCAAGTACCACAAACTGGGTGGCTTAAAACAACAGGAATTTATTCTCTCACAGTGTGGAGGCTGGAAGTCTGAAATCAAGATGTTGGAGGGTTGGTCCCTTCTGAGGGCTCTGAGGGAGAATCTGTCCTTGCTCCTCTCCTGGCTTCATGTTGGCCAGCAATCCTTGGCGTTCCTTGGCTTGTAGAGACGTCCCTCCAGTATCTGCCTCCTTCTTCACATGGCATTCTCCCTGTGTTTGTGTCTTATAAAGACACCAGTCATATTGGATTAGGGGCCCACCCTGCTCCAGTATGACCTCATCTTGACTAACTACATCTGCAAAGACCCTATTGCCAAATAGGGTCACATTCTGAGGCAGAGGTGGGGGAGGGGTGGGGTGTTAGGACATCAACACATCTTTTGGGGGGGGGGATACGATTCAACCCATAACTCTCACCTAAGACAATGACCATTCTTTTATAAGGGGAAAAAAAAAAGTCCCCATAGCACACATAGCAAACTTATACATTCCTTAGGAATAAATGTTGTTCAGCTATAGGGAGTTAATGACTAGAGATCATATTTAAGCCTCTGACCTGCTTTGTAGATTCCTTAACTGATTCTTCCTCAATTTCTTTTTCACTGCCCAAAGAAACCCATGGTTTAGAGACTGGTGGTTTATAAATATATATGTCTTCAGGAATAAGTTCCTTATATTCTTCCTGTTCTTCTGGTACTTCTGGGGGCTAGAGTAAAATAAATAACATTCTAAAATATATGACCAAATTTAGGTTATCACGACATGTATATATTTTGCAATAAACTTTACTTTCATGTAAGTTTATAAAGTACTTCCTATTCGTCACTTTTGTTGGTTCATGCTTTTAAATTATGGAAGGTAAACTAAGCAAAAAAAAAAAAAAAGGAAGAATAAAAAATAAAAAAAGAGACAGCAAGGATATGGAAAGATGACAGGAGAAAAATATGGGAGAGGAAAAAAGGAAAAGATACATGATAAGAAAAAAGCATTTACTGCACAACATTTTTATGAATATATATGCTAAACTTTATAAAACTTAATGATAAAACTAATTTTCTGTGATTTAATGATATTTGATAAGAGGATTATAAATATAAATAAATATGACATTCAATATATACTAAGGAGTGACTGTTTTTTAAAATCAAGATGTCCACAAGGAGATATGTATAGTCACTGCTGCTTTATTTGTAATAGTGAAAAAATGGGGCCGGCCCCGTGGCGCACTGCTACAGTGCACCGCTTGGGAGCGCGGCGGCCCTCCTGCCGAGGGTTCGGATCCCACATACAGACCGGTTCCCGCTCACTGGCTGAGCGAGGTGCAGGTGCAACACTGAGGGCTGCGATCCCATTGCCGGTCACGGTCTGGTACGGGCGCAACACTGAGGGTTGCGATCTGTTGCCGGACACGAAAAAAGACAAAAAAAAAGAAAAAATGGACAACCAAATGAGTATCAATGAAGAATGGATTGATGACAGTGTGGCATAATCACAAGATAAAGTCCCATAAAACAGTTATAATGAACAAACTCAATCTACTTATATATGATATCTAAATATATCAATATTTCTAAGTCCTAGAATTTAATAGTTCAATAAGAAACAAGTTGCAGAATGATTTGTATAAAATGATATAATTTCTATGTGAATTTTAAATTAATAAAACACACTATTTGTGGAGCATACGTATATGGTAAAAGTATAAAAGCATGGATATGAAGGACATAAAATAACTTTAGAATGATAGTTCCTCACAGAGAGGAGTGAAGAAAATGGAATTAAGGAGGATACAAGAGGGAGTGAAACATTATCTATAATATTTTATTTCTTTTTAAAAAACGTCTTGAAGTAGATATCATGGGGAGTTCCAGTCAAAATGGCAGAATAGACGGTCTGCAGCGTCACTCTCTCCCGTAAATCAACCAATCTACAACTATAAAAATGTAACATCAGCCAAGCTGGGGCCACTGGAGCTCAGGGGAAGAGGAGAAGAGACCTGCAGAGTTCACGAAGGCGGGAGAAACCATGATGAGAGAAAGAAAAAGCTGCTCTGAGCATTTCAGGCCACGGCCACTTTAAGGCTCGAGCTTCTGAGTGCATGGAGCAGGAGCCGGCAGAAGCCACAGCTGTGCCCTTCAGATGGAGTTACATGGAGGTGGAAGGGGAGAAGAGGATTTTGGTGGTCCCCAGGACAGCAAGACCACTAACAGGGTTACCGTGGAACCATGCAGGAGCGAGGAGCCAGAACCACTGAAAAATGGGAGCCACTCAGAGGCCGGTGAGTCATCGCAAGGGACTGGCACAGGGCCCGTCCCATGGGAACTGTTTGGAGCACAGGTGGTGGGGGAGATGGGCCCACCAGGAGAACACTGGGACACAGCAAGGACAGCCAATCTGGCCCCCAATCAGTGCAGGACCACTCAGAGGAGACTGGTTAGGAATGCAGAATTGCATGGGGAGCAGTTTGATGAAAAAACTCAGGCCCAGATCAGAGATTCTACAGAACACAGATCCACCGGGTCTCTGGAGAGCTGGAAGTACCTACAAGGTCAACCATTAAACCCTGAGCTGCACAAAAAGCCTTCCCTAGGGAAAGAGCAGCAAAATAGCAATTTAAACAACCACACAGCTCAAGTACTGGTTCCCACAGGAAGTTCCCCCATGTTAGAAGTAAAGGATAAAAAATTAGTTCCAGCCCAGGCATACCACCAGTGCCTTGGGGCCCACCAGGGGACATGAGGCATGGAGACAGGGGCAGGACCCCCGCCCACAACCACTCACACTGCCAGCACCTCGGGGTCCACTGGGAAAATGAAGCTGGAGCCAGGGACCGGACCCCCCCTCCCACAACCAGACACACCACACCAGTGCCTCGAGGCCCACATGGCAACCCAAGTCATGGAGAAGGGGACCATACCCCACTCCAACAACCAGACACACTGCGCCAGTGCCTCAGGTCCTGCCAGGGGATCTGAGTCATGGAGAAGGAGACCGGATCCCCCTCCCACAGCCAGGCACAACATGCCAGCATCTTGGGGCGCACCTGGGAACCCAAGTCATGGAGAAGGGGACCAGAGGCCCCTTCCACAACCAGACATACCACACCAGTGCCTTGGGGCTTACTTGGTACCCGAGGCATGGAGCCAGGGACTGGACCCCCTTTCCACAAACAGGTACACCACCAGGGCCTTGGGGCCCTGCCCATGTTTCTATCTGAAGCATGGAGCTGGAGACCAGGTCCCCCTCCCACAACCAGGCACACTGCACCAGTGTCTTGGGGCCCATCCAGGGACCTGAGGCATGGAGAAGGGGACCAGACCCCCTCCCACAACCAGACACACAGTGCCACTGCCTCGGGGCCTGCTTAGTGACCTGAAGCATGGAGCAGGGACTGGACCCCCCCCCCCAACAAGGCACACTGTGCCAGTGCCTCAGGGCCTGTCCAAGGACCTGAGGCATGGAGTTGGGCACCAGACACCCCCCACAATCAGGCACAGTGCCAGCACAAAGGAGCATGCCAAAAACATCACCTCCATGTGGGTGGGCTGCCATAGTCACCACTATAACCATGGCTGCCGTGAAAGTGGCTAGATGCCACACCCACTGTGCAGATGGTCTGCCAGCCACTGGAGTGCACTGACACAAGGAGAGTCACCAGCAGAGATAAAGGAAAGAAGAGGACATGTCTCTCCACAAAGCCCATTTCGGAGTGACAGAAGAAGTATCTGCTCTATGATAATATTGGGGGACCTGATCACACCACTCAGCACTGGACAGATCATCTAGGCAACAAATCAACAAAGTAACCATTATTCTTTCAGAAGGAGAGAAGAAATCTAGGGTAATTAGAGGAGGGGGAGGGAGGGGGGAGAGATTGAACAAGGGGCATAAAGAATAATTATGATTTGTAACAATATATATGCTAGTAATATTGATTCGATCAACACATCTCAATGTTGAACCCCAAATATTTGTATAATTAATTTTGTTTCAATAAAAAATTTTTTAAAGTCTTGAAGTAAATAAGATAAAATATTAATATATGTTAATTCTGTTAATATATGTTAATACCTGTTATACTACTCTGTACTTTTCTATACATCTAAAATATTTCACTATAATAGAAAATTAAAAATAGAGAAAAGCAACCATAAAAATAAAGTGGAAAATGTTAGAAAGATTATTTTTAATTAACAACTGCTAGATATTTTTTAATTCTATGGCTTTCTTTTAGTTTTCTTGCTCATTGGACAATCAAGAAAATCTTTCTGCCTCCCTCAAACAATTTGACCAAATGAGGATGCAAAATCAGAAGGCAAGTCACACGAATCTGTTATCTTTCATGACCACCTTGAATCCAAATCCCCAAAGGTGAATTTATTTCCATTCCTTAGAAACTACTATTCTTTTGTTTTCTGCTTATCTTTGACATCTCCCTTCCTGTCAACTGCCCACTGACCAAGTCTTTTTGTAATTCTGCTTTTAAATAATCATAGCAAACATTTATGAAGCACTATACAAGGGCTTTACCTGATTTAGCCGTTTTAATCCTCACAGCAGAACTGGAAATGGGCACTTACTGGTGCCATCATTTTACAGATAAGGGGCTCAGCCACTTAACCCAAAGTCATGGGGATGGGAAGAAGGGAACCAGAAGAGTGGCCATGGGGTGGCTGAGAGCAGTGGCAGTCCAGATTCACTGCTCTTCACTGGGTCAGTATCTGCTACCCTGAGATGTCTGATTCAGTTCATCCCACATTTACTGCTCACCTATGCTAGAGGCCAGAACCTGACCTGGGCCCCAGGGAAACAGCCAAACAAGAACAAGCACCACCATGCACAGGGATCCCCCAGAGGTACCACTTCCTTCTGAGAGTCAACAAATTGCGAGGACTTGGGGTTTGCTTACATTTAAATAGTTTTCCTTGCCCTCTTCAGTTCCAATAAGATAAAAGTTAAGGCCATATCTGAAGTCTTTGTCATAAACAAGCACAAGCTCATCTCCAGGATATTCCTGCAGGAATACAATCAAAAGAGAAGATTAATGTTCAGTGGTCATTCAGTTTATTCAGACCCTGACACACAATTGATATTTCTCTAATCAATCAATCACGAAAGATAGCCATAGTGTTAATCTATGGCTGATAACCCCAAAATGCAAAATTGTTATATTAACTTTTAAAAAGCTCTTAAAAACACAGTGGGTCCCAGGAAATTAACCATACAATTTTATTTCTAAGAGGAAAAGAAAAGCATTGTTTTTATTTGGTATTGTGCTTTTTGGAGACAAATCAGGACCAAAATTATGAATTAATTAAAACAGTATGATAGGGTTGGCTGGTTAGCTCAGTTGGTTACAGCACCCTGTTAACATCAAAGTCAAGGGTTCCAATCCCCATACAGGCCAGCTGCCAAAAAAACCCCCCAAAAAACAGTATGAGAAAATAAGGGTAGATTTCTATTCTATTGAAACTGTGCAAGGATGAGCTTTTCTGTGGGATAAGATAACCAGTCACAGATACAACTTTGCTTTTCACAGAGGATCATCAAACAGGGTTCCAAAGGAGGTGTGAGCAAGCTAGCATTTGCCCACCGTAACAGGGAATGCCAGATTTGAACTCAACAATCTCTCCAACTTTAGTTATTATGTATGAGGAACTTCTTGAGGTAGGTCTGAAAAATAAAGAGAAATATTATACTTACCTGGACCATTTTTTTGACTGGGTAGAAATCAGAGACTGCAGCTCTGTTTCGCAAGTCCTCAAAAATATCTTCTTTTCTGATAAGCTTATAAGGTTGTTCTTCTGTGACATCTGCATCTATTCGGCACTTGAATATTTCCTGGGTGTTGGTAGTTAATACCACAGGATAAATTTCTGGATGACCTAGGAAAGACAAAGTGACCACTTAAAATATTAGCAAAAGGAAACATGCAATTGTTTGCTTTTAATAATTCTTTTGGTTAAAATTTTGACTTTAAAATTATTTTTCTTTGTGGAATATACTAAAAAGCATATGTACTTCACAGGGCCTGGTTTTCTAAAGTCTTGCAGTTTCAAATACTGACCTTGCAAGGACAGGAAATTTTCCTCGGGCTATAAGTCTCTGTTGCAAGATAAGAATTGTGGCACAGCAGGTTGCTGGCTCAAAGACAGACTAGTTACTGATTGTTATGTAAAGATACTGAGAAATTTCTATAAGAAGGAATGTTTGCTAAGATCAAGCTTGTGTTGATAAGATCACTTAATTGTTTACTGGAATGTCATCTGGCTTGTTTCACTGAAAGTTACCAGCCTATACCATTAAACTATAACCCCACCTTTGTTCTCTTTCTGTAACTTCCTGGTCTAGAAAATAAATGCAGGAAGAGAACCTCAATTCCATGTTAATTTTCCCAAGGAAGAGATGCCTCTTGCTGGAGGGTCCCGGGAAAGTTAACCACTTTGGGGCTTCTCACTGCTCCGGGCTTTGAGTAATCCTTTGTGTCTCCATCACCCAGGAGAAGTGGGGTGACAAATCCGTGGGGGGCGAAGCAACGCAAAGCAACAGTTCTTATATTTAAAGTAAATACATCCATTGTAAAAAATGTCAAAAAAGATAAAAAAGAAAATAACAATGGCCCATAATACTATTTCTTTCTTTCTTTCTTTTTTTTCCTTTTTTTGTCTTTTTTACTGACCAGTAACGGGATCGCAACCCTCGGTGTCGTGCCCATACCAGGGACCGGCAACGGGATTGTGACCCTCGGTGTTGCACCCGCACCGCGCTCAGCCAGTGAGCGGGAACTGGTCTCCACATGGGATCTGAACCCTCAGTGGGAGCGCCGCCG